CCTTCTTCTTAAGGTAAGAAATTAAGTGATGAATCTTACGCCGATAAGGCTAATTGGGGACTAGTATGAGCTATGCATATGGTTGACGATGATGCACTTAGATTCAAGAACATTGTTTTATGCATCAGATGGATGATTTTGTTGCTTCTTGTTGTTGTTAACAGGGTCAGTGAAGAAAATTAGGAAGCCGAAACCGTGGAAGCATCCTCAACCGATTACGAAAGCTCAGCTAATGCAATTGAGAGAAGAGTTTTGGGACACTGCTCCTCACTATGGCGGTAGGAAAGGTATTGTTTGATACTTATTTCTTGAGCTTGCCTTGTTTCGGTTTTTTTCTAGAGGTGCTTCTGCTTTATACCATTGATTACAAACAAAAAATGAAGGATATGTAAAAAAGGGATGTTAGGGATTGGAAAAGAGGAAAAAAGATAGAGTTTTAAGGGCCCTACCGGGTTCGAACCGGTGACCTATTGATCTGCAGTCAATTGCTCTACCACTGAGCTAAGGACCCTCTGGTTGCTTAGTGATGAGTTACACATAAAATTCAGTATGCTATAGTCATTTACATGCATGATTTGTAGAAAAAATTAGGGACTGGGAAAGATGAAAACAAAAAATAGAGCTTTGAGGGCCCTACCGAGTTCGAACCGGTGACCTATTGATCTGCAGTCAATTGCTCTACCACTGAGCTAAGGACCCTTTTGTTGTTCATTACATGTGTCTTGTAATATTTCATAAGATTTGAGATTCTCAGAGTAAAGTTTGATGCAATGGAACTTTAAATTAGATTATGTCAGTGTAATCTAATAATATAGCACATAACTTTGTTTTGTTTTATCAAATATGTTTGTAATATACACTCGCTAATCGCAGAGATATGGGACGCACTTCGCGCTGCTGCTGAAGCCGACATATCTCTTGCACAAGCAATCGTGGACAGCGCAGGAGTCATTGTTCAAAACACTGATCTCACAGTATGTTATGACGAAAGAGGTCAGATTTCTAATCTTTTTCGCTTGCCTCGTGATTGTTCTTCGTGTTCCTAATAGTTAACATACTCATGACTAGTCCTGTTCTTGTTCTTCAGGTGCTAAGTATGAGCTACCTAAGTATGTTCTAAGTGAGCCTACCAACTTGGTTGAAGAAAATTGATGAAGATGACTATTTTGAAAAGACGAAAAAAGGAGATGCGAAAATGTAAATCTTGTGTGTAAGTAGTACATTAGGATTCTCTGCTTTTGTCTATTTAACACTTAAAAATGAAAAGTTTCCCACATCTCATTCTGACTTGTATCTAAGAAACCTAAGATTGTTTCTGAAATTCGAATGACAGGTTTTTCGGTTTCATCTTTGATCTGTTTTATATGTTAATGTTCTGTTGAAGTGCTTTGATC